CGTATCGGGGCCGGTCAGAGCCATATCAGCCCCGATGGCAGAGCGTGCTCCAAAGTCGGCTCTTTCTCCTTAAAGAATAGCTGCAATTCATGCTCTGCTCTTATTTTTTCCTCCCCCTTGCCTTTTTTCTTTTCTTGCTAGCRCTGCCAACTCAACCAGCTCAAGGGAGGCTTTTCCGAGCTCTTCCTATAYCACAGAAGGACAGAAAGACGCCAGGATTTAACCAGCCCAGTTCCCGGTTTTGCTTCTCTCAGTGCTCSTGGGCAAGTTACTTCGTTCCTCCCTTTGCATTTTCAGTTTGACCATTAAAACATTCATGATTAAAGTCATGACTTTACGTTGTGTTCTTGACTTGTGTGAAAGCCATTCCCAATGGCCTACATATAAATGAGTACCGGATTAATTAGGATGCAGGGTCACTCATGGAGCTCTACCACCCTTTCTGTCCTGTTGACTTTGGGAGCAGGTTCCCATTACCCAGCATGGTCCTCAATAGCTTCAATGGTCCTTCAATGGACCCAGGCTTCAATGGACCTTTAAATAATTATAAATACAAACCATAGTTCATTTATTGGATAACCTTATTCTCTAAGCATTGTTAATCAGGAGATAGGGCATCATTCATTGCCGACTAAAGAAGACAAGCACGTCATATTTTTGATGTAACCGAGAGTTTCTCCAGGCACAACGAGCCAAGAGGCATTTCTGGCCACACTTGCAGCCCCGGCTGCTCGAGCGAGTGATTTTCCCCAGGTCATGATGCAGGTCTTCGTCAGGCAGGGCGCTGCAGTCCCGCTGGGCGCCCGGGCAGCCCCGTCACCTGCGCCGAGCTCCCCCGCTGCAAAAACACGCAATTTTCCAAAGGTGCGGGAGGCTTGGGTTACTAGGAACACAAATCATTACGAGCAAAACTGCATTCCCAATTTATTGTATTTGTTTTATTTATAATTTTATTACTTAGTCCACATTTTCCATATTTTCCATGTGCTTCACGTCACTCTTGTCCGTTCACGTGGAAACTTGGGCTCTTCTCCCCCACATAACGTGGCGAGGGCTCTGTAGCCAGCCGCGGGGCTGCCCAAGGTCCGGTGTCAGCAGGAGCACCGGGTTGCTTTGCAAAGCAGCGAATGTAGCTGCAAYGATACATGAACCTGAAGAATCTCTTGGCTAGCAAAGGGATGCTCATTTCTTGCAAAAAAAAATTGCAAAAAAAAATAAATGCAGAAAAAGACAGTTTTTAACCTAGATTTGCTTTTTTGATAGCAAGAGCTCAAAAAAATGGGTAGCAGTTGATGGCGAAGGAGGAGCAGGCAGCCTGGATGAAAACATCTGGTGATGCAATTAGAGTCACTAAAAAGTTTACCCTCCGAGCTGTGCCTCGGCAGTGGATGGGGCTGTTGTGAGGTGTCACTTCCACTTACTGGATTACGCGGCCGCGTTGGCGGCGCTGCAGCCGCGCCAGCCCTCGCCGCTGACCTGCCGCAGCTCCCCTATTAGAGCCGCAATTAGGGGGTGACTCTTAATAGCGAGGTCTTGCTGCAGAGYGGGCAGAAATGTTTCTGTAGCTCACATGCAACAATTAAAGATAATTTAAAATGTAAGTAATTGCGCCGGGTTTCTGGAAACTACTGTAGAGGTCTTGTCCCAGGCATGTGACAGGCATGGTGGTGTATTTTGACAAGTTTTGCACAGATTTCCATTAAATACCAGCTAGCAGTTCTATTTTCTTTGGAGTTATTGGTCAGGAAATGGTGATTGTGCAAGGTCAGGTCTGGAAGATTTGGGAGGGGATGGAGGTGTTACTCGCGGTCTGATCCATGGGGATCTAGTTCCAACATAAATCTTGCAGCCGCTCGATTCTTGCTTTCTGCCGTGGTCTTTGAGCAGGAGCAAGGGCTGACCCACGGACAAGGGCTTCTGCTGAGCCGTTTTCACCCCTGCAGAGATGGCCACAAGGGCAGGACCTCCAAAACGGCCATATGGACGCTGGAAACCTGCAGAATCCTTTGAAACGGGACAGTCTCATTTTAGAGACCCAAAGTTGGCTTGAGCCTGCAGCTCACCACAGCTTTGCCCGCAAGCCCTCGGTCCGCGCACTGGATGTGAGTTTGCTGCTGCTCCAGGGCTCCTGCAAGGTCAGCTGAGCACGAGCATCGTGCACAAGCACCCAGATAGTGTCAGGTTCAGCGGCCCTGAAAGGGTTTTGCATCGTGGGAACAGACTGTCATTCTGCCACAGGTTCGCACGGATAAGAAGCCATCTGTGTGCATCTCCCTGCACACCATCTTTCCTCTCTCCAACTTCTCCTCACTTTTCTTCGGAGTCTGTTTGACCTACATTTAAGTAACCCAACAAATCCTGTAAGTGCACATAGGAGAGTTAAATATTCAGTTCATTGCTGAGATGTAAATGAAGAATGAATCCATCTAAATCAGAGTGAAAACCAGCATATGAAAACAGAATGATCCATGAAATGGAAAGGACATTTAATTGGCTTAGGCTCCTACCTCAGTTAATGCAACTGTTGCTCCTAAATCATTTGGGGAAGGGCTTTAAAAGGTAACCGGTGCAGCATTTGCAAATGCATTTTTCTTCCTTTTCTTTGGTTTTCTAAGGTAGGTTTAAAAGCTCAAGGTTAATGCAGATTTCAACTGGACAATTGCAGAAAATTGCAGCTAACCTTAAAACCACTTTTCTTTCTTTTCAAAGTGAAAAGATCCCAGACAAGAATAAGCCCAGGCCCCTGGTCTTCATKTATGTTCCATTACAATGTTTTTAATGAAGGACTCGGAGAGAAATAGCCCTTGAGCTAAAGGAAAAGAAAGATTTCACATGTTATCATGAYGAAACAATGATTTTTGCAAAGATCRGGTCATTATAAATGAGAGAAAAATGACAGGARCCACTTGGTCTTTCTTTTCCCCTCTCCCTTCAACAGAAGCTTTCAATCCTAACCAGCCTCGGTTCCTTTTTCCTTCCAGTGAGGCYGTGGACACGCTTAGACGCAACGCGCCGGGCGAGCCTGGCAAACACAGCCGCACGGAGACACGGGCTGCAAAAAGCATTCCCGGGACACAGCGCAGAGCCCGTCTGCCAGCAGCACACGACTGCCTTCGTGCATCCATCCCCCAGCACGGCCGCCCGGAGCCCTGGCCGTGCTGGGAGCAAAGCGGCRAGCCCGACTTCCCGATAGCTCCAGCACCCAACGCGGCTCCTCCACCCCGGCCCTTCCAAACGCCTCCGAGGGCAGCCTTTGAAAACGGCTTTGGACACGTCCCACACGGGAAAACAACACACCGCAGAGACTTGGCCATGAGTTGGTCTCAAGTCACCAAGTTGGGCACGGGAAAAAAAAATAGACAATAAAAAGTCGCTTCTAGCCAAGTTTTACGTGAATATACAATATATACATTTTTTTCTTTCCCATCACACTTTTTGTCTTAGTTGTTGGCCAACTTGGCTACAAGTTTATGGAAAACTGTGAAATGGAATTATTATAATTGTTTTTTTTTCCCCCCCTCCTCTTTTTGACCAAGCGAAAGGTCCCCAASGTGATAATCTAATTATGGCCAAAGAGTTACAGTTTGAGGGACGCACTATCAAAAACTCTCTTTTCTGCACCATGCTTTCAGAGCAGTTCCTGAGCTCCAGTGATCTAATACTATTGCTATTTATGATTTGAAAAAATTATTTATTATAAAGTATGTCATAAAGTGGAAAATTACTGGTGCCGATCACGTTTCCAAGCGGGCTAATTTAGAGCTCGATGCTGTAAGTCAATCAGGCTAATAAACCTGGGCCGGCGGAGGCTTGGGAACCAGGCTTTTCGCGGCGTTAGGCCRGGATCAAGCAGAATAGCTTTTAACGAGGGGCTTTGGAAAGGCAGGACCGGGGCTGCCCCCCTCCCGGGCTGTCTGCGCTGCCTGTGCGGCCGCTTTCCCGGGATACTGGCGGTCCCGACGTGTTCCTGCAGCTCCCGCTCTGCCCCTGGCTGCTCCAGGTGGATCCTCATCCTTAAACGCCTTGGGCATTTAACCGCCTCCCAGTGCCTTGGGTTTTATCTAGGTTTTGGAAGGATGCAGATAAAGAAAATCAATTAAAAGGAAATAAATGGGTTTTTTTCCAGCCGCTCCTGAGTATGCGCCTTGCTCCCGTTCATCCCACTGGAGCAGAGAAACACGGAGAGGTCGGAGCCCTCAGTGCCACCCTGATGCTCCTGTCAGAGCACGGGGCTGCAGTAGYTGCTCACAGGCTGAACTGTTCTGGTTTGGGGGTTTTTTGTTCATTTGTTTTCTTTTTTGCTTTAAATTAATCCTCAGATGTGTTTACAGATCCTTGCATTTTTATTGTCTTATCATGACATAATCTAACACTAAAAAATAATACTCCATACTCATTTCCATGACATTTTATGCCACTGGAAAACAAGAAACTGCAGCAATGGAGGGAAAAAAAAAAAAAGGCAAAATGAAGCAAAATGTCTTCATTTTGGGAAAAAAAAAAAAAAGCAAAATGTCTTCACTTTGGAGGGAATGATCTTTTAAACAAAATATTCAAAAATTAGTTTTTCCATAGCAAAGCACTGCGAGTTGGGCTGCTGCGGTACCGAGCAGGCAGTGGGAATGGCCGGAGCGCCGGCGGGAATGGGGCGGGTGTCTCCACCGGGAATGGGCCTGGCCGGCCCCGTTCACCCCTGCTCCGGGGGCTGCAGCCCGACGGGCCTCGTCCGGCTGCGGGAGCGCCGGGAGGCTGCGGAGACGGGGAATTGCAGCCCCGGGGAGGCCCCGCACGACCCGGCACGTCCCGCGCCGCCCAGGCCCGCTCCGAGCCGCGATTCCTTAGCSTTAACCGGGACGGGGAACAAGGGACGGAGCAAGGGGGCAGGATCGGGAGCCCTGGATGGCCCTTGGTGCAGGACGGGGAGCCGACGGAGCCTCGGAGCCCTCGGCTCCTCCCCGCACCTGCCCTGGGCCCCCGCTCTGAGCAGACTCACCGTTTCTGGAGACTCTCCCCAATTCAACGTCTGCAGGTTCCTGCCACAACAACAAGGTGTTCGTTGAGCTCTCCGGCTTGCTCTGCCGTGTCAGTCATGCTCCGGGGGAATCCCGGAGAGCCCCGGCCACCTGGCAGGTACGCGGGCGGCGCTTGCCTCATCCCTGGGGAATCTGCCCCGCGCCRGCAGGGATTGCACCGGAGCTGGCGCTCTGCCACCCTCTGCCTCCCCCCGGGACTGCCAGACCGCGTGTTCCTCCCGTGGTGTCCCCAGAAATGACATTAAAGAAGAGGAGGGGTCAGTAATGCAGAAATTGCAATCAGAAGGACATACACTTGGCTTGCAAAATCCAGGCCTCATCCCACTGCTGCGTCTGGGAATTCYGGCCTCTACTCCTGCTTTCTTTTTGGGGATGCAGAGTTAACCACTGTTAGCACAAATACTGCGGTGGGGATCAGCGGCTCAGCATGGCCATGCATGGTTTAAACAGCTGCTTAAACGTCACTGCATGTCCTCGTGCACCTCCTCAGCCAGCAACACATGCAAACCCAGCGGCTTGCCTTGGTGGATGAGCTAAACGCCTGCATCCCAGCGTAATTAAGAGAAGACAGGTGATTAAATGCCATTGATGATGTGAACGCAAAGCTGTTAGYGGAGGACAATAGATTGCAAATAGATAACACAGGCACTTCTGCCAAGGAGTTACACAATCTCACAGTCGCCAGCTACCAGGAACAGGAGCGTTTCCTGCTCTTGCTGGTCTTCACGTGGCCTCCTTGTGTAACCAGGAGGGTGTCAGCTTTCCCCAAGCAGGTGACAGTAGTTGGGGCTGGAAGCTTCCCGCTTGACCCAGGCATCATCCATGAGCTCTTTTCCACGTGGGTCACTGCAAGACGTGGCACCTGCTCCTGGCCTCTTGCCTCACCAGGATGGGCAACCTGGTCATCCTCTTAGCAAAAGCCACCTCTGTCGCCAAGCAAACACAGGGGAAGCTCTGGTGAGGCAGAGTGAAAAACTCCCATGGTTTTTCCTGGAGGGAATAAACACAGGGAAGAGATGGAGGAGATCGGCAGCCCCTTCTTGGATCTGGTGGGGCTTGGGCCCGATTTTGTCAAAAATATATATATATATTCAAATCAAATATATATATTATATATATTCAATATATATTCTATATATATATATATATATATTCGATGGACAAATAGCAGTGCATTAACCTCAGAAATAGCACACTCCGAGAGGTTGGCTGGGAGCCTGGTGTAGCCTCGAGACCTGGCCAGCCCAAGCAGAGCATTTTGTTGTTGCTTTTTCAGAGCGAGGCTCACGGAGACCAGGAGTTGGGCAAAGCTCCCCTCTTTTCGGCAGGTCAACRTGCTCCCCTGCAATCGCTAATATTGAAAGAAAGGGAAAGGGGAAAAGAAACCTTGGAAAATTAAGCTGCTTCGGCATTGCTGATTAAAACCAGTTTGCATTTCATTGTGAAAGACTGTGTTTGCTCAAGGCTTATTCAGCTCTGGTCTCTTCCATGCACATAAGGTTTGTTTTAATGACTGTAGAGTTATATGAATCTGTTAATTTTTTTCCTGAAGGTTTTATAATAACAATGCCTGTTTTTTTCATATAACACTTTACAGCTACGCGTCTGGAAATGCATTGCAAATGGGCAATTAGCATCAGCGCTGCTTTAAAGATGGGGAAACCCAGGCAGAGTCTTGAATGAGACAATTGCCAAAAGGGAAAAAAAAAAGCCAAAAAATTGAGAATTCTGCTTGATCTCAAAAAATTGGAGCTATAGCCTGAAAAGAAATCCTGAAAATAGCAAAATCCTGAAATGCGAAGCCAATAGCAAGGAATAATCAAGGCAGAAGCAGCAGCCATCTGCCCACGTGAAAAAGGCAAGCACGGCCGCAGGATTTTCGGCTGGATTTTAATCCCCAAGGTCCTTAAGAGGGATGCGCCCTCCGGAGCCCGTCCACAGCAAGCGGCACCCGTCGTGCTGGGGAAAAGAGGTGGCCCCAGATTGATGCTCGTGGGACAGCAGGCAACAAGGACAGGCAGCCGGGGAGGTGTAGCCTGGAAAAAGGAGGGAAGGAGCGGGAAGAGGGCAGCTGGGGTGATGACAGGCTTGGAAGAGGCCGTTGCAATCACTTACATCCCACCGGCAGCACCAGGCGAATCCGCTCCGGAGGAGGGCCAGCTCTCAGCGGTTCAGGGGCTCCTGTTTTCTGACAGGGGCTCATTCCTTTTTTTTTTCCTCTCTTTTTTTCCTCCATCTCTGAGCATTTTAATGGGAAAATCTGGAAAGATTAAAGCTCAGAGCAGAAAAAAACCAGCGAGATAATGTTATTTGAGGCAAATCTCTAATGGTTTACTTGGGCTACGTGGGAGGCAAGAGCAAATGTTATATGCTAGGGAATATTAAATTATTAATATTATGTCTAGCTCAAGATTAAGCAGATTCCAGAGACGTGCCATAACCACCCACTGCCAGCTCAGGTATGGATGTGGGGCATGGAGTTAACGAGCAGAGCAGCACATGGAGCAGGACACAACGAGAGGGACACCATGCACAGACCTGGGGACACGGGATGCAACAAGGAAAAGCCATCGGGAAGCAGCTGCACTTCACYGCTCTGCTGATCCCCAGGAACCTGCCCGTAGATCAAGCCAGAGGAGCAACACATGGATCTAATTCTCTAATTCCAGCCCTCACCGCACCATTATCCGCATAAATCCCCCAAGCCGTGACACCAGCCTCTTCATCATCTCCCAGGGAAGACAGGATGGGGAAAGCACAGGCTGGAAGAGAGCAGGAGATCCCGGCAGCAAACCCAGCAACTCATGACCCTCACCCTCCTCAATCACCCACCCTCTATTTCATGTCTCAGCTGATAACATGTGGGTCCTATTTCCCTCCCTCCCCACAGCTGAAGGAGATGAAGCCGTCTTGCACGGGCAGCATTGGCTGCAACTGCTCTTGATTAAAAAACACCATCTTTGGGTAACGAGCACAAGGCTGGGGATTTCTCCCCAATGTGCCYTGGGTCCCCAGGCTTCACCAAGGGGGTCTGGAGCCCCTTTTCTCCCACCCTTAACATCATGGGGCAGTTTCTCACCCAGGGTTCACTGGCACAGCAGCTCAGGGTTGCAATTATTAGACTAGCTAAGGATCTGCTCCCAAATCTTTTACTGCCTGCAAGGAAAACCCTGTATTTAATTGCTCTCCCAGCTCACTTTATCTACTTGAATAAATATTAAATGTATTAAATAATTTCAGGCGTATTTGAAATAAATCAATGCATTTAGGGGCGGCAGATTAGGAGGGGGCGGGAAGCATTTTTACATGTAAAAAGCTTGATATTTATTTATTGTTAAAAAAGGCAGAAACAAAAATGAGAACGCTACACTGAATGAAACACTATGATCAATWTAAATATAGAGAAGAAGCATCAAGAAAATAACTTTGAACAGAGCTATCAGGATGAGTCAGGGGAATGTCAGAGATAAAGGGGAAAAAAATGGGAAAAAAAATAGCAAAACAGACAACTAGGACTGCAGATCCCAGGAAGGACTAAAAAGCAGAGAAAAATTTAGAAGAGAAACAYGAAAGAAGAAAAAGATACTGAGAAGGAAAGAGATGGTGAATGGCAAGAGGGGAGTTAATGAGAGCCAGAAACGCGAGTTGGAGAAATGTTGATTTTATTTAGCATTAATTGCAGGAAAGAGCCTATAAAGTGCGGTAAAAAATTATTAAGTACCACTATGCAATGCCAGCTTTGTGCCAGCCATCGCTACGAAGCAGGTGTATTATTCCTAGTTCCCTAGGTATAAATAAATAACTGCTTTTCCACATYTTTTTTTTTTTTTTATGGTGGCATTTCATTATTTTTTACTGCCGTATTGTTAAGGAGCCGATTCCTGCAGCGCAGGTCTGGAGATCGGCCCGTGCGCGTGCGGCCGGGCACGTGCCCGGGATCCCGGCTGCCCAGACCCTCATCCCGCAGCTGCAGACAGGGTCCCACCTGCTGCCCTGGCAGCCGGAACACCGAGGAAAATTATGGCACAGGGACAAGGCGACCTGTGGGACATCGGGGACTCTTGCAGCCCCGGGCAGGATTGGGGTGACATTTCTGAGGGTTTCACCCCATTTCAGACCGTCGCGGCATCTCATCGCAGCTGCCGTCACGTCCCGGCCACGGAGCTGGGCTTTCCCCAAGGCGTCCCATCCCTCTGTAACGTCCCCGTGCACAAACATCCCTTCCCTTTGAGATCAGGAACAAGACGTTAACCTTCTGCTCGGCTCTGCCCATGCGCTCTCCTGCTGACACCATCAGCTCCGGCTCCTGCGTTGCCCTCCCTAAATAAGAACGAGGGCAGATCACATTTTTCTTGAGCAAAGCTCATAGCAGCGTTTTGGGGCTTGTTTTATCCAGTCCCTCGGTCCCTGAGGCTCAGAGGAGGCTCGGCAGGGAGATAAGGGCCGGGTGGGTTCTGCAGCAATCCAAGCCTGATGCCTCTTGCTTCGGATGAGGCCACCAAAGACGTCGGGAGAAGCCGCGATTCCCTAGGAGTGCTTCAGTCCAAGCTCTGACCTGGAACCGTGGGCTCTGCAAAGGAGCATAAATCTTCAGCTCACGTCCAAATCGCTGCAAGGTTCAGTGAAAGCAGCAAAACTGCTGGGGAATATAACCCAAGTTTTCATCCAACTCCGGGTTGATTTATGGCCTCAGGTGGAAACCATGCAACACGATGGCTCCAGCGCCAGGCCGGGGCACGGTCTGCTGGAACAGGCTGGATCACGGCTGAAAGTGCCAGGCACAGACACATCCTAGCACACAAAGCCAGGCCTCCGGGGGGCAGGAAAAGGCAGAGAGTCGGAGAAGGGAAATTAAACAAAAAAGACAAAGAATAAACAGTGCAAAGATTGGTTATGAGGTTATTGTTACTGTTTAAAACAGAACAGAACAAAACCACAACTAGCTGTACCATTTGCATGTCCAGAAGTGCTTTCCTAAGCACAGAATTCCAGGTTAGCATTGTGGTATTTGAGGATAATAGATTTTTAATATTTAATCGCCTCTCAAAATATTAACACAGACAGTAATAGACTTACTGCTTTTGTATATTTGGAAAAGAGAGGGCTTGAGTCCCAGTGACCCTGTTTTCTGTGGACAACAGGGTACCCCATCCTCAGGAAAAGATGCTGCCGTAGGTTCTCTGTGGGCAAAATTTCCAGAAGGAATTGTTATCTCCACAGAGCATTTAAAAGGTGATTTCCTCTCCTTTCTCTGACCCTTGTTATCTATCCACATATTAGCTTAGAAAAACTAACCACAAGAACAGTTAACATAAGGTCATGGGTGAGATGCTCWAGAATATTTTCAACCGGTCCCCCTGTTATCAGGGTGGCCTTTCATCAGTGACCTCAAAGTAAGCAATCTCCACGAGCAGCCCTTGAATTTTGAATCTCTCTAATGGTTTAACTGGGAAATGGGGCTGGCAGAGACGCTCTGCATCGTTACCACGTTGAAAACCAGCCGTGCGGGGCTCCTCGCAGCCAGCTGTGGCCTCACCGCTGTCACATCTGTGTCCTATCTTGGTGCCACTCTGGTCTTTTATTTTCTCCAGTGCTTAATATCCCCCCAAAGTGCACATAAATCTCCAAAGGGAAACACTGCATCATCATTCCTGACCAGAACGGTGATCCCAGGGGTGCCTTATAGCAACACCTGCAACGCACTGCGGCTTTTCCTGCCAGGATAGACGTCGCTGTGGCACGGGGCCACCACCACCACCCCCCTGGGGACACGTGGGGACCATGAGCTAACGAGATGGGCTGTGGCACAGATGGCCGATGACACCCACTGCCATCGGGTCACCGGACGATGGGAAATGGGTCACGGTGCCAGTGCGTGGATGGGACCAAAGGAGCCTCAAGGCCCGTGTGAAGTTCGGTGAGGAAGGGGATGCTGTGCAGAGGAAGCAGGAGGCAAATGTCCTTCTCTGAGAGCAGCACCAAGTGTGATGAAGCAAGGGACTCGCCTGTCGCAAGTGTCCCCAGCTCATGCTCTGGAAGTCTAACCCATCTATCCAGGCTTGGCCGAGCCTGTTTTGAGCTGGATGTTGGCGAGAACATCATCCATGGAGCTCGCTCCCTCTCTCTCTCTTCCAGTGCCAACTCAGAGAGATTTGCAGCTCTTCCTATTGGAAGAACTAAGCTTGTACTGAAAGGGTTGCTGTAGAACCAATGCGTCAATGAAAAGAAGTTAGCAAAAAGGTTTTTCCTTTCTTTTTCCTCTTTTTTTTTAACCTTTTTTAACCAAAGTGAAGGAAAATGTGTGACGAGGAATTGGGAGTCTGTTGGCCATGGAATATTCCTGCAGTACTTGGACCTGTGGTTTATTTTACTGGTGGTGACTAGTTCAAGCCACATTCAGTCAATAAATATGAGATATGAGGTCACCCCGCCATTTAGCTGTTACCCTGTCTACATATTTCACAGCTGGGTAGTAACCTTTTAACTAGCGTCTACCTCGGTGGGGAGTCTCCATAAAAAAAGARCCAGGATCCATTGGTCTTGGTGGGGGATCACGGAATAGGAGCACCAAGGAGCCTTCGGAGTCGGTGAAGAGGGAGAAGGGGAGCAAGCTGGGCCTCCTTATCCACTTGTTCTCTGCTTTCCCAGTGACATAACGCCCAGAAGAGGCAGAAGCGCCGTCAGAGATGATCCCGCTTTTCCAGGCGGATAACAGGTGGCGAAGGAGCACATTCCATGTGCCGAACTTAACACTAACTTTCCCTTCTTGCATATGGAAACAAGCTAAAAAGACAAATTTCCTCCAATTTTCAGTTTTATAGAACAAGACTTATCAGGGTCCTACCATTTCCAAAGGGATTGTTCCATCCATATCTTACAGGATTTAGCAGAAATCTCTTTCCAGATGAAACATCTTCCCAAGGTCTGTCAGAGGGGCATCACTTAGACCTTCCCATAGCTTCTCCTCRCTGTGGGATGAGGAGGATGTTTCCCTGGCTTCTCTATGATCTTGAGCTCATAACTGTGGGCTGAGTCTGCTCATGATGGCCTTGGAACATCCCTGCATCCATCAGCAAATCTTCACCCCAGCTCATGTTGCCTGCTTGTTCTATGTAAAAGAGGATGAAGAAAAAGAAAAGGAAAAAGAGAGGAAAAAGAGAAAAAGAGAGAAAAAGGAGGAAAAAAAAAGAAAAAAAAAAAGAGAGAGAAACAGAAAAAAAAAGGAGGAAAAAAAAGAGAAAAGAAAAAGAAAGAAAAAAAAAGGGTTTGCAATGCCCTGTTCCTTGCAGAGAGGCCGCTGCTCAGTCCTGGATGCGGCCAGGAGCGCACGGATGACGCTCTGGAGGCGGCGGTGGAGGCTCCCGGCAGCGGCAGCAGAGGGGTTACGGGAGTGGGGGGATTAGAGGCTAATTGGAAGGCTGGGGAAGAATTCCCTTCTCCCAAGGGCTTCCGCTCCGCACCACTTGTTTAGCCCGGAGCCGTGGCAGGAATTGGCAGCAGCAGCTGGGATGAGAGACGGGCCCCGCATGACGGCTCCACGTTCCCATCCTGATCCCGGCTTCCCGGGGACGCTGATACGGGAGCAGGGCCAGCGGGGAGAGCTGTCCGGACACGCGGGGACCCCTCACGCACACACAGAGACAAACCCCACGTGCCAGCAGCGAGGATGACCAGGCTCGTGCTCCGGCGCCTGCACATCCATCCCAGCCGAGCGTTACCCCCGTTTCCAACAGCCGCTGCWAGCTCCTGGGCGACATTCCGGCTTTTACCCCCAAACACCGTCCACAAAGCAGGAAGATCAGCATCCCAGYGTGCCAGCCGCAGCCATCCCTCCGGGTCACTTTTCCAGGACCTTGGCATCCGTGCTCGCTGTGGCGCCAGGGAGCCACCTTGCACACCAGCCCAACACCACTTCTGCAGCGCCACGGCAGGATTTTGGGTCCATTTCAGTCATTTAAATGCATGCCATGTTACATTATGCGGAGCTGTGTTCTTGTCCATTTGCCACCCACCTCAAATCCTGTCTGAGAAAGCAGCTAAATGCTCCTTTTTGGTGCAGAAATGCCCAGCGTTCTGGCCAAGTAGCCATGAAGTATCTACGCAGAGGGATCCCTGGGACTCTCTGCATTCCCTAGGGACCTCCACCGCATCCCAGCAGCTGCAGCCGGGATCACTTCCCGCTGCCGGGAGCTCCCAGAGCCACAGGGGCAGCTCGCGCACGGCCAGCGGCTTCAATCACAACGGGATTAGGCCCTAATTGGATTTCTGGTCTCAATTAGGGCGGAAGCGAAGGCRAGCGCGGCGCGCACGCGGGGAGCTTCGAGCATCTGCAGCAAGAGGCGGCCGAGTGCCGCGTGCCGGCAAGGAAAAGCCCTGGGAAGGGTCCCTTCCGACGGAGATGGCACCCCGGCATGGATTTCTGCTGCAATGGAGGTGTTTTTGCCAGCGCAGTTCAAGGCACATGGGGTAGGACAAATTCCCCCTCCCTTGGCACTGGTGTGGTGGGAAACGGCGCTGCCCTCCTGTCCTTCCCTTCTGCAGAAGTCCTGCTTCCCGGTGACCCTTCATCAGCCTCACAAGCCTGGGGGCTCCCCGAGGAGGGCGGCAAAGACAGCRGCCGTGTCCCGCAGAGGAGCGAGGAGTTGCATCCCAGGCTGTTCCCGGGCAGCTTCCGAGCTCGCCTTTCCTTTCTACGGAGCGCTCTGGACTTGCTCCCACTGCACATCATCCCCGGGGCCAGAGGATCCGGCAACGCCACCCTCCCATGAAAGCGAGCCTTGTTTTGGAGAGCTTTAGCACAAATCMCCCGTCCTCCCTCCTCGGCCGGGGCAGAAACCTCCCGGGAATGCCCCGAAGAGCGAGGGGAGCGGAAGGAGMGAATGCCGGGGAAAGCACCCGCGAGGGCGCCCAGCAAAGCGGGCACGGAAATGGATGCAGCCTCCGCACGTGATCCTTGCCCGAGCGGCAGCGGTTCAACACTATTGCCTCCAATTTAAATCATTCCTAGAAGAAGTGCAAGAGAAAGGTGATGAAAGGGCCCTAACGTGGYTCCCTGCTCTGAAAAACACAGCCCACTTGTGCACTGTGGTCAAGTTTTGCATTTTGGCTAGACATCGCGTGCAGGGCTGTGCCGAAACCTCTGCTTATTTTTGAGCGCTGAAGTCACCGCGATGCACAGAGGGAGGATGTGCTTCGCCCTGGGAGGAAGGCTCCACGGGAGCAGCATCCTCCGGAGCGAGGTGGCATCGCTGCCGCTCTCCCATATCCTCCAAGAGCAAAGCCAGACTCCAGTTTGTGCCTCCTCGGGCCCGTTGCAGCTGAAGCCCTGTCCTGCTTCCACCTTGGAGCCCCTCAGCACCCTAATGCCATCCCAAGGTGGATATTGCAACCTGGAGCTGCAGGTGGTGCCCACACAGGGCGGAATGGACCATCCCTATCCCATGTTGAATCCTRGAATCATTACGGTTGGAAAAGACCTTCAAGATGATCRAGTCCAACCGCAAACCCATCACCACCACGTCTGCTCAGACCACAGGCCTGAAGCACAGCAGGAGCCACCACCATCATCCAGCCCTCCTTATAACCCCGGCCTGGGTCTCTGCTGCCCCAAAGCAAGAACAACTGCTCAAGGCTTCCAAACCCACCCAAATGGACCTTCCCTCTGCATTTTAAAGAAGGGGAGAGATGCACGAGGAACACGGCCACTGCTTGGACCCTTCCGACGGGGCATCCGCCTGTGCGCCCTTGTGCTGACAGCCGCGCTTCACAGCCATGTGATTTCAGCGGCTTTTTTTCCCCTTTCCCTCCTGCTTATGCAGTGAGTTACTAATATCCTGATTGGAACCAGATTTGCATGAATTAGAAGTCGAAACTGGAGCAGCAACTGCTGTGCAGAGGATGTAAAGGGAATAAAATGAATGGGGTATTAACCTTCAACCACTGAATATTAATCAGTGTTTCACAAAAAAGAAAATACAGAGGCTGCCACGCTAAATATTTTTAGCATTTATTGACGGGCTTGATTTCCTCTCTCTTTTAGACCTTTTGCTTCCAATCATGGTCCATAAAAAAAATCGCATATAAGATTGGGGGGAGAGAAGAGGGAAGGAGGAAGAAAAAAAGATCATCTTTTCTTTTTTTTTTTTTTTTTTCAGGCTGGATGATATTTGCGAGTTGTGCAATACAGAAAACCATCCCAGCCCCGATCCCTTCAAAGGCTCACTGCTCCACGACCCAAACCAAACAGAAATCTAGCCCAAAATACAGCGAAGCCTTCGGAAATGAATGCACGATAAAGAAATAAACTTCTTAAAAGCTAAACTCGCCCTGTGTCGAAAGCTAAAACGCAACTGAAAATCAGGCTCATAATAGATCAGCTGGTGAAATGAAGCCTTTTTTGGGGGGAGATGGGGGGTGCAACGTGCACCAGTGCAGTTCATAAAGTAGCGGTGTTTTTGGCAAACAAAATCGCACCAAAGCAGCCCATAAATAACGAAATCTCCAGGATATGGAGCCACGGTGCCTTTGYGAAGCACCCAAGGGCCTCCGTCCTGCGGGAGCCCGGGACAAACCGCCCCGCTCAGCCAGTGCCATCCCCACGCTTTCTTGCAAACAATGCTTAAATAACAAAAAAAGAAAAAAAAAARCACAAGTGGAAAACTACCGAGCCTTCTCTCTTGCCGCCTCCCCACAAACTTTGGCACTGGTGSATTCTGAAGCCAGATGTCCTTTGAAATCTCTTTTCAGCGGAGACAATTCCCTCTCTTCCAAATGCCGCTACCGCTTCCCTCAATGCACCTTTGCAAAACAGAATTCATTTGTTTTCATTAGCGTCTTATCAGGTTACCTGGATTTGTTTCAATGCTCAAAATGTATTAAAAGGAGAAAGAGAGAGAAAGAGAGAAAAAACAGTGGTAGGCTTTCAGGAAATAGCAAGTTCTTTTTCACCGAGATAGAAATCATTTGGCAAGCCCCAGTGAAATACTTCTAGGTTCCAGAAGAAAGCAGGGGGAAAAAAAAAAGGCAAGGAAGCAAAGGGAAGATGCTAATGAACCACAGAAGAGGAAAAAAATAGAGTTTAAAAGAACATCAGGAAAAAAAAGTTTAATATCAGGCATACAGCTGCACCCAGCTGCTTTTTGGAGAGATATTACAGCATATTGATAAGTCATTAGATAATAACCAGCCTTGCTCCTTTGGAAGTGGTTAAGGATAGGTGGCATTAAAGTCACAGAAATAACTGGCATTTAGGCCCTTTTTGCCAAGAAAACGCCAGGCACCAGGTCAGCAAAATTTTTAAGCACACGCTCCACGTCTCTGCTAGTGAAACCGGAGCCCAGCAGGTATGTGTGTGTCTGCTAAATAGGAATAGGCATGCCTAACTTTAAACACACACTTAAGTGCTCTCTTCTTAAATTGCAATGACGCTGGTTTAGGTTGTTCCTAAGTCCTTCATCTGGTGCTCTATGCTCCTGATTCAGGAAGCTGATAACATTACTGAAAACCACTGGATTGGCTTTAACTTCTGTGTTCTGCCGTTTTACCTTGGAACAATACAAGGGAGAAGCAGGTCCAGCTTACGAGAGGATCCATGTCCCCGTTCCCACTGCAYGGCCGGGCAGCGATCCATGGAGCAGCCTCGTGCACGGACACGGGCACCTCGGTCCACGCACGTTCTCCAGCTTCAGGCAAAACGAATGAGCAAAGCTGAGTTATTCTATAGGTGCAGCTCTTTGCTGCTCACTCAGCTTCTTTCAGGGTGTGGGGAATTAGGTTTTTTTGCCTTTTTTCCCTTTGCATTTTCTGGGGGAAAGGGCTGCATCTTAATTAGCTTGCGTTCATGGGCTGCACGATGGTAACGCGATCCCTCCTCTAACCTTTATCATCTGGTTCTCATCTTCAAAGCCGCACAGTCCCCTTAACTCTTGGCGAACACGGAGCCGTTTCAAAGCCCGACTGCTCCAAAGAGATCACGGCTGAAATGAGGAGGAGGAGGAGGAGGGAGACGCGTTCCCCTCCTACTCATGCGGAGAAGGATCAGCCAAGGGCAGGCAGCAGCTTCCACCTGCACCTGCATCAGAATGGGGACAGGGTTGTCTGCTCCCACACCATCCCCRATGGCACTGTGTCCCCAGGAGATGCTTTGGGAGGTCTTGACTCACTCTAACGGGGCCTGATACCGTGGTGCCTCCTGCTCATCCTCTCTTTGCGTCATCTCTCCTGACCATCGGTGGTCCACGGTTGGTGCCGTTTGCCAGCCTGGAGCTACAGGGAACATTTCTGGATGCTGGAATGGACAGAAAAAGGCTGTCGACACCATCTAGCAGAGCTGACCCCTGTTCTGCCATGGTTCTTTGCACCAGATGCTGCAGGAGCTCATGGAGCAGCAGGTAAATGAGCAAGACACCGCAGGAGGGAAGGGCTCCCACCGGAGCCGGCGGGAGCGCTCCCAGAGCAGCCCGGCAAACACGAGTGCTCCTGCAAAGCTCAAAGTTTAATCACTTGTTTATATCTTAAATAAGCCGTACGCCTGAAAAAAMCATCTTTCTGCGGCAAGTGTCTCTGGTTAAACATTGGCCTGTTTGTCTATATAGCCCCTCGGAGCCAAACGTTAATTGTAGGTTGCTATAAAAGAAGTTTTTCCTCTTGCACGTTTTAAATCTGTCAGTCCTGATTTCCATCACAGGCTGCTAATGCTCAATGTCCTGGGGATGCTCCTCCTGCTCCGCATCCGTGCGCGAGGGCAGGAACCTCCTTCGGAGCCTTCCCGGGGATTCATTTCCGAGCCCTTCCTGTCCCTTCCAACAAGGGGCTTCCACCAACTGCCCGACGTCCTGTCCGCTCCAGAAGCTCAAGTGACCTTGGGAGCCCCAAGCTGGGAGGAAAGGTCCCCTGTCCCGCTGGATGCTGGAGAGATGAGCCCAGCGCGTCCCACTTCACTGCTGAACTGCAATGGGGTGGAAAACGGAGGGGCACAACCTGGTTCAGCCTCAGGAACAATCTTTTCTTTCTAGGATGGATCAGTTGCAACCTCTCCCAGCAGCAAATTCAGGGAGTCTCATCAGTAATTTGGGGAGACCAGCTCCAGAAAAAAAAAAAAAAAAAGAAAGGTTGGTTTGCTGGACCGTGCAAAGCTTGATGCTGCATCTTGCTTTGATAAAAGAAGATTGCCAGCACAAGTCTTGATTTTTTACTGGTTTCTCTTTCTTTTTTAAGAGTCCRTGTTGCTTTTTAACCATTATCCTGTGCACGTGGTTCAGCCTTCTACAAAAACAAAACAAAGAATCCCTAGGTGTGAGAAGATTAAAGATTCTGAGATCTGGACATTCTCAAATCAGAAACACATGTTTCAAATGAAGCAGMCTGGCGGAGAGCCACCACTTTTCAAAGCTAAGGAGCCGTCACATTAAAAGGATGCCCTGGAAAGCCCAAGACAGCAAGAGCGTCGGCAGCTCCCTCCTCATCCCGCAGAGCCGGGACAACCCCGCAGCATCCCCAGCACTCATCTCACCACCATCCCTGTGCCACCTCCAACCCACCTTTATCTCCTGACCTCTTTGCACCAGCTCTAGTGATTTTTAGGTGCACGCACTCTGTCCGTCTGCTCCCGAWACTTCAGCCTGCTGCAGCAAGAAGATCCAGGAGTCCAGACTCTTTCACATGACCAAGACTGGGCCACCAAAGGCTCCCGTTGAAGGACAAGGGAGCCACACGAAGGACCTTGCTCTGCAGGAGAGCAGCTGGAGAAGCGCCTTGGAGGACCCAAGCCTCTGGGCACAGCTGGATTGCTGCAGGCARGCAGGACATGGTGGCCACAGAGTCCTCGGTCACCCTTGCCATGTCCATGGTGGACACCAGGGCTTGGGCCAGCTCATCTCCAAGCCGCCCGGGTTCTCAAGGCCATAAAAGCAGACAGGTTGAACCAACAAGATCTCAAGCCGAGTCCTAGATCTAGACCAAACAGGCAGTGCCAACATCAGCAGTGACTGCTGCAAGGCACCAGGGTCACCAAGCTACCCTTACTTTAAGCCAGCAGCAACCTGGGGCTACCTGTGCAGACACAGAGTGACCCAGAGAGCTGGCCCAAGACACAGGGTCAGGCTGGTCCAGCACCACAGGGACCCGAACTCACCAGCTTCRTGGGGCAGGACAAGGTGGATCCATCTCCGGCCAACGGGAGAACATCCCAGCATGAACACCAGGCGCTTCACTCTCCATGGCCCCGTTTTCTTACATCTGGCATTTTCCTGGTCATTAGYAGAACCATCCAGGGCAGGACTTGGGGTCTTGGGGGCCTAATTAGCAAAGAAGSGGGGATGGAAGGGAGAAAAGCAAACATAATTACCACGCCATGATGTTCAGTACCTGCTTTACATGGAATAATGTTCTTCATCCTACATTTGTTTATAGGGTCTTTAACTCTTCCCTTTTTGTAGGGGGGTTTCTGAAATCTATTTTATTAGGGGAAAAAGATTTGAGTGCATTAGGCAAAGTGCCAGTAGCCATGGTAACCTTGGATTTTTCCATCTTCATTACAAGTTCAAGTAAAACCTTCATATAAAATCTAAATGAAAGGGTACATTATAAGTCCATTTTGAAATGTTTGCCTGGAAGTAAAACTTTGGACTGCATCCTTTTTTCTCTGCTGAACATTCTGGTTCTATGCGGAACACATTTTTCAAGTCGGATTTTTGTTTTCTTTCAAATTTTATTCCGTTTGCTCATACAGGGTGGGTCGTCTAGTGGTTAGAGTAAGGCATCAAGGCAACTGGTTTCCAGTCTCAGTCTGTTCCTGATCGGTCAGGGAGTGTTCCCAGTTTTACCCAGGTGACTTTGGCAAATCCCTTAAGCTCTAAAAAAACACTACTAATAAATAAATAACTTCATTTTTTCCTTACCAGTATAACAATGATAACACTTACTTGTCCTGAGGTTGCACTAGGATTCACTATTAGCCTTGGCAAGGGAGTCTTTCCTCGGAAAAGGAGCCGTAAGAGTGCAAGGAGCAGCTAATCTCTCCTACCGCATTTTCTCCTGGGCCCGAAGGCCAGACGGCGAGGTTAAGGAGAGGTAGAGGCTGGAGGACGCCCAAACTCTCCGTTTTCTTTTCAACGGCTTGATTAGGAAATCTGCAATTAGTCTGCTCGGTTCAGACACGGTCACAGGGCTATTCCAGGAGATATTCCTCACACCTGGGCAATACCCAGGTGTCACTGGAGAGGATTAACCACTCGTGGGGTCACCTAAAATGCCCTCGTCTCCCAGACCTGCCCCTAGCCTGAGAGGAGCTCCTGCTCAATCCGATTTCCCCACCAAAAGGAGCCCCTGCTCAATCCGATTTCCCCACCAAAAGGAGCCCCTGCTCAATCCGATTTCCCCACCAAAAGCAGCCCCTGCTCCTGCTCAATCCGATTCCCCTCTGCACTGTCACAGCCAAAGCATCAACCTGCCGCCTCCTGCCCATGCGCGTCTCGGGAAGGGAACAAGGGGGGTTGCAAATGGCACGGGGCCCTTTTTTTCTTCATTTTTTTGATACATCCTTCCTTCCGCTCTTCGCAATCAATTAGCGGGCAAAGACTTCCGAAAAGCTCCTTCCTCCCTAACCTTTCGCAGCCTGTTGCGATAATGACTCTGGAGAGCTCGACCTGGGCCTGTGCGTGGGGTTCGCTGCCTCGCCGGGGCAGCCGCCGTGACCTTCATCACTTCCTCCTCTTCCTTTCCTCCCCCCGCAGCTCCCATAGTCTCCCGAATGAGGAGGGGGGCCAGGGAGATCAGTCTAAAACCAGCCCCGTCCCACCAGAAAAAGCCTTTAAGGGGTACCTTAAAATTATTAAAATTATTTTAAAAATTATTACACTTATTATTACAGGATGCATTCCCCAAATCAAGAAACGGAGACGTGGAGGGAAGAGCGGCTTTCTGGTTTTAATTTGTCCCTGCTCTCCGCCTCTCGCGCAGGACGAGCTGCTTTCCAGGCACCAAGCTCCAAGCCCTGCAGCTCTCCCCCAAACCCACGGCTCGTAACTCTTCCTAAGAGCCTTATTTAGGACACCATGCATTTTTTCCTGGTCTCTCCGTGCTTTCCCATAGGAGCATCCAGGTAGGACACATTCCCATGGATTTTCCCTGGCACCTGCACCCTGCTGGTGGCGGCTGCAGTAGAGGCTCCACAGGCATCGACGTGCTCAGAACAATTCCCATTGTGCGGAGCAGCTTTGGGCCACCTCCTGCACCGGGGGGGCCCAGGGGACACCCGTGTCCCCAACGGCACAGCCTGGTCACCCCGCGGCACAACCGCAGCACCTCGTATCAAAGCCACAACGTCCCCACGTGTCACACCCGGAGGTCCTGGCGTTTAGTGACTCACATCCACGTCCCAAAGCAGCAGCTTCCTTCCAGCTTCCTTCTCCTTCCTTCCRGCTGGGCTGCACACGAGGAGCACAAGATAAACCGAAATCACCTCGCGCCAACACGCCTGGGAGCGACTGGAGCCACTTTGGGGCAAAGAGCCTGTTATTGAGTTATCAACCTCTCCCGCCCTGCACAGGAGCCAGCTGGAGAAGGAGCGCCCCAAATCCGTGTGGGAAAGGGGAGAACACGATGGCTCCAGCTAACAAGTATTTACTTTTCTCTGCTGTTCTAGATGTGAACAATGGATTTGTTAAAATAATCCAGAATTTGATTCTGTGTGAATTAATGCAAATCCAGCCCCTGGCTCCTCGCTGACACAGCCTTGTCGATCAATATTTTTAAATCTACGTAGTCCCAAGTGAAGGCAGCCGATGCAGAAGGCCAGGCTTGCTCGGCAGCAGCTGATTAGCACTGATTTGCATTMAGCAAAGATCTGCTGCTATTTCTGGGCATATGGAGCATATGGGCATGGGCAGGCTGCTCAAGAGCCACCAACAGCCCCATGCACAGAGCAGCCCTGCCCGGCACGGAGATAAGGGCATTTGGAGGGGAAAGAAGCCAAGCAGCCCAGTAGGAGTTTCCCCTTTCCCACTTCCTCTCCTCTCCCTTGAAATCTCCTCTTCGACCGTAAGAAGCAATAGGGAAAGGCAAGAGACAAGCGGAGGACACAGATCCCACCGCTTCGCCCCCTCCCTCGCCCAAAATCTAATAAAGATGATTAAATTACATGTCTTTTCCTCCCACTGAAATCACCGCACACTGCTCGAATATTAGAGCTCAGGAAATAAGGCACGACAACTTCCCTCGTGAAACCTTAGAAGGCAGCGCAGGGGTCTGGAGCGAGTGGCCTGCGAGCCTGGGCTGCTCTAATTAAGAAATCACCCCGCTGAGCAGAACCTAATCTAAATAAAATAGAGAAAGGAGCTCGCTTCAGACCCGCTGCCGCGCTGCTCCGCGCCCCATAAGGAACCCATCCAAGTTCCAGGGAGTTTTTCTCCTCTGCTCCTTCTCGGAGGGCGCGGGAGGCTCACACAGAGCCCTGTGTGTGCTTGGGGTGGCCAACTTCCAAAGGAAAAATACACCGGCCATGCATGGCCAAAGGCTGCTATTTCTTTTTATTGATGATTTTTTTTTTTAATGATACTTGGCCTGCTGTTTGCTATGAAGGGGGGACAAAACGGTGGTGGCATTGTCGGTGTGGCGGGGCCTGGGACAGAAAACTGCAATTTGATTGCRCTGCTTTGCCCCTCTATCAGGAGCCCTCTATCAGCAGAAGGCTCTGCTTGGAAGAACAYTGAAAACCTGAATACTTGAAAAACGCTTTTCACTATAGAATCAAAATCCAAAATATTCTGGACAAAAATCTGAGATGATTTCATCTGTTACCATTTCTTGTGAGAGATTCCTTTGGGTCGCTCTTCACCCCACAGGTCACCCCATWTGAAATAACCCACCAGGATACCTTCTCCGCATCTCCTGGGACTCGACCACGAGCTCCTCCTGCCCAGGCCTTTTTTCCAGCCCATTTTCCTCTCTTCCCCGTGTCCCCGCTGCCCTCATCATCCACGACGTCCCTCCCTACCCATGCTTGGAGCGGACGCCCCGTGATGCGCCGCAGCAGCCCAGTCCATCACCTACCCACATTCATGCATTTCATTAGCATGAAATTACCACGCGAGCCATTATCCCAGAGCTCTGGCACTGCAAGATTTACAGAGATAAACAGAGAAGCACAGACCTTCCCGTGTACACGTTAAGAAAGCACTTACTCRCTTAAAAGGCAGAGTGCTGCCACTTGAAGGGCTTCTGGCCAGCCCTGAAAAGTAAATGAAACCACCGGGATTTGCATTTATTAACGAAGCCCCTCGGGTTGTTGTTCCAGGGGCTTTTGACTCCCAGGAGCGACGCTGACTTGGACCAGCCGTGGGGCTGACTGCGGGCGTCCTCCAAAAGCAGGACCCACCACCAGAACCAAGAGCCCAAACCCAGGCAGAATGAGCTGAAGGTGATGCAGGCTGAGCAGCCTCGACTAGGGGACACCTCCTTTCCTCCCACGTGTGACTTGATGCTATTGTGCGTCGTGGACACAAGTACATATGAGAGCTGTCGCTGCCAGCGCTTAGTATGACCACTACAAAGACCAAGAAGCCAAGGTGAGGATGACCTGAAAGGGAGGAAGGACAGAGCCCTGGGCAGCCCACCCAAGAGAATTCACAACTGATAGGACCACATCTGCAGTGCAAGGTCCAGGCTTGGGTCTCCTGGTACAAGACAACGTTCAAGTGGTTTCTGGT